TATTTGTTACTTATTAGACTATATTTCAACAACATGATTTAAAACCCACAAAGTAAGAAGAGAACCATGTACAATTTTCAAAAATGTTGTCAACCCCGAAAAATTTCAAATTTTCAAAATATCCAGAAACGAAGCATCAGGATAAATTTTCCAAAAACGCAATTTGAGCGAGTTATAACGATTTTTAAAAAGACACGACTCGCGTGTTATACGCCATACACACAAAAGTAATCGATGGCACGCCAGGCGTGCCATCCGCACTGAACCGGTTAAATGACATTGTGTCACAAAAAACTTTACCTCAGTGTCAACTAGCGGCATCTGGTGAGCAGAAAATTATTAGCCCTCATTGTGCACCTTTTGCTTTTACACATACTCGTACTCTTTAGAATGCGGCATCGGAGTGTGGCGCGTGATGTTTCCTGTGCTCCGAAGCCTACGTGTGAAGACCGCTACCCCACCACAGAGACTTTAACCATAACAAAAAGAGGAATTCCTATGAAAATTGAAGTTTCACAAGTCCAGGTCCTGAGCTATTTATCTTTTATAATACTTGCAATCTGTGCTGTTAAAAAAAATAATAGCCAAATATTTTTACAACAGTTGCAGCATGGCTATGTGATAGCTACCTGTTATTGATATTGACATTATTAATTCGATACATTATGTGTGTAGCACGAATGAATCGGCGCGTTCGAGGAAGGGGCACGCTCCTAAAGAATACCAGCGTAAAATAGCAACTTAACAGCTGCTGTTTTGCATGTGGTGAGCGTAGAGAATCGGAGACCCTTTTTACTTGACACGAGGCATTCGTGTCAAGTAAAAAGGCAGTCCTCAGGGGTGACAGTGCATCTGCATTTTGATTCTTAATCGTAGATAGATGTAAATGTTTACGAACCACAGCATCTACTTTACCATCAGGTGGACTGTGTACTCGTTTGTCACCCTATTTTATAAAAAAACACACAGCGAAAAAGGACCATCTGCACTTCAAACTGCAGAAAAGGATCTCGATAAAAACATTGCAAAAATACCATACCAACCTAGAAGGTCGAGCAACACTTGATGTCAACTGGTTCGTTCGAACTCGTATTATTCAGCGTAATATAACATTTTAAGACAAGAGCCTATCCTGCTAAACGATCTTGACTGCGAAAATACATTATGTAAGGGTTGATTCCCATTAATTTGAAAATCATGATTTTTCTTCCCAAAAATACACTAAGCTTACTAGTATCTAATATACATACCTTGTAATACTTCAACCAAAATCAAAAAGCTTATGTTATAGTTTTCTTACGCTGTGTAGAGGCGGCGTATGAATATATTATACTACCTTATAATCATTCCGAGGGTGTCGTAAGAGGCGACAGAGGGAAACTGAAACAGGAGACGGGCAGCAATATCTTCCTAACAAAAACAGAAAACAATAAAAACCGCCAGCGTGGGGCAGCTTTGACACGATCCCACTATGTGGAAATAATCTATGGGGGAGGCCTATTATTTAGCAGAGGACTCAATATTTTGTACTGAATGAGGCTGTAATGAATGATGATGGATAAAATAGTGTTCTTATTATGAATTTGCTGATCTTACGGGTCAGCGCTGTAGTTATAGGTTCCACTTTACAGGTTGTGGAGTTTTATACGGAAAACTTGTAACTAGTGGACGGATAGAATGAGTAGGTGTGGAATAATTAATTGTAAAAATGTGATTCCTTATATACTAAAAATTAACAAAATGTATAAAGTTATTGACCAATCAAAATGTCTACATTAAAATATTTAGTCTTAAAATTACAAAATCCTATAAAAATCTTATTACTATAGATTGGTCGTAAAATATCGAAAATCTGATATTTTAAAAATATCAACAATGTTTTTATACGTGGTAGAGCCATGCTGCAGCCATATTAATAGTATAGTTGTAGCTAAACGTAGTGGTTATATTCTCTTTGGTTGTAGCACGAATGGGTCGGCTCGACCGGGGAAGGACCACGCTCTTACAGAATACCAGCGTAAAATAGCAGCTTAACGTTGTTGTGTTTTGTTTGGTGTCTGTAGGGAACTGGAGACACTTTTTACTGGAAAAGAGGCATTCCATCTTAGTCCTCATGGGTGACAACGCATCTGCATTTTGATTCTTTATTTAGGATAGATGTAGATGTCTATGGGTCACAGCAACCACTTACCATCAGGTGGACTGTGTACTCGTTTGTCACCCCATACTAAAAAAAATTGTCATTGGCATAATTAAAAAAGCCGATGCTTCTTTTTCACAATATTAAAATAGCATTTAATATGCTTGCATATAAACTTACCAAAAAATCACTTTATTGTCTCAAAATCTAGCCAGAAAATCTTAACTTTTTGTTAAATTTTAACGGACTTGTTAAAGCACATTTTTAAAACAGCCGTTATAGGAAAATACTTGACGATTTACATACAAATGCGCTGTTACTATAAGAATTTATATATCCTAATTTATATATCTGTGTTGCTGTGATATAGAGAAAAGAAAATGTTCTTTTTTTAATCAATATGGCCCTTGGTATTGTGGTTATGTCACAATAATTCTGCCAATGTCCGGTCTTTGGTCTGTCACACTGTCACACCTTGTCTTGAGGCTTTTCGGTGGGAAAGGAGTTAGTGGTTATTAGGTGAAAATGTGGATAAAAACAAACCAACTAAATACATGAATTGTGGACCACACAATATAGAGCAAACATCTAGTTATAGAGGGGATTAGCCTGAGCAGTGAATAGAGAATTAGGTTAAGCTATATTTAACACACAATAATTAGAGTTTAATATTAGAAAATGTTTTTAATATTCAGATTAATATAGCAAAGTGCCAATCATTGGTGGAGTGCCAAAATTAGTACTGTTTACCCTGTTTATTTTTTAACTTTGTTTTATTATTTCTTACATTTTTGTTTTATGTTCATGATATTGTAATGTCTAATAAAAAGTTTTTTCTACTTCTTCTTTAAATTCTGGTTATATTGTTTTGATTAAAGCCGAACCAAATGTGAAGGGCATCCAAGCAAAAGTCGACGCGATCAGGTGGCTCTTTTCAAATATTTCGTTTTTTTTTTTCTTGAGACACCTAATTGACGGTTACCCGAATATATTTATTTTTTAATGTGTGGTGCTCTTTTTTATCCAGTAAGGCTTGCTTTCCAGCAGAGATGTGCTAGGCCGCTGAGCGGTGCGAGGATGTGTAGTGACGCTGTGAAACGGAGCGCGGATGAGCGGTGCGAGGATGTGTATATTGTTGCCATCTAGTGATTGCATTTTTTCACTCGCGTCCGCCCGCTTCACATATGCAACACATACCTCGCACACATTCCTCGAACACATTATGTCCTTGTTTTGTACGTACAAAAATCTCACTCCGCTGAGCCGTGTCTACAAGAGCTGCGCTTAGCGAGGCAAGGTAAATGAAGTGATTCTATTGGTGGTTAACGAACACATACCTCGTCACGCTCGCACATCTCTGGTGGAAACGTAGCCTAACTAAAGGAAACGATGTTCATTTTTACAAGCTTGCATTCTTCGTCTTTTTAGTTTAAAATTTGTAATCAATTTCGAACGTGCTTGCTGGCATCTGATGGAGCTTAATATTTGGCGTATTTATGTGATTTTAATGATAATGAATAATATGGTATCATGAAGCTGATAATGATGGACCCAGATATCGGTCCTAGCAATGCCTGTGAAAGTTTGTTTTAGATAGATTTACACTAATTAAGTTTATTATACATAGCGCCCATCCACGAAGACGCGCCCCACCTATTTTTGGTCGAGGGAATCGCGGGGTGCCGGGAGTTTGACTGACTCGAGCGTCAGTCGCGACTCGTGAGCCGTCAGCCAGCGGTTGCACACGAGTAGTACAGTTCATGTTGCACAAATCCAGACTAGTCACGAAAGTTGCTCCACTTAATATTTTGTTTTAAATGTCGAGAAAATCTCAGCGTGTTGTACTTAAAAGCCAGGTATGTAAATGTTATTTACATGGTTTAGATATTAATAGTTACACATGAAATAAATTTTGAAAATTACTATATGGTTGTGATTATATTATGTAGATTATAAATACATAGTTTGTTTACAAATATTGCAAGTTCAAAAAATGTTAACTATACTTGCTAGATTTAATGTCTATTTTTTCTATTTTAGAACCGCACAGGCTGTTGGAGTATCTGAAAGCACAGTGATTAGAATTCTAAGCGAAAGAAAGGCATATACAAACACAATTAAGCTAACTACAGTACAGTTACTATAGCCCCAAGTACGGAGCGTATAACTGAGCCGACTACGGAAGCGGATATTGAGTCTGAAAATGAAGCAAGTACGTCGCAATCGAATTTAATAAGCACAAGTGCTACCATTTTTACGTCACCTATGAAGAAAGGAGGGGTTAGACCACGAAAAATTAATTTAGATTAATTTAATATTTGTGTGGTTCGAAGAACTATCTAAAACTATCATACAGAACATCATCAATTTCCAACATTATCACGACTGAATAATGTTTTGAACGATCGTATACAATTTAATGGATCTATAACAACTCTAAGAAAATTGTTACATCTTCTTCTTCTTCTTGGTCGTGTTCTTCTAAACTGAAGGTCGTGTCCGTTGTTTAGTGCCTTCGTAGCGCTGTTCACTATAGCCCTCCCATTTTATCCAGTCCTCGGCTTTTCGCATTGCAGTCGTAAGTGAAAGGCCAGTGAGTGAATCCATATGATCGTTACATAAACTTGGTTATAAATGGAGAAGAACTGAGTGTAATAGGAAGGTGCTAACCGAAAGACATGATATTCAAATGTTAAGATTAAAATATTTAAAACAGGTAGTCTTTTCGTAATCAAGGTAGACCTATAGTGTACACAGATGAATCATATATTCATACCAACCACGTGAAAAAAAATCTTGGGCCGAAAAGGATTCTAAATAACAAATAAAACAAAATTTTACAAAAGGTGTGCGCTTAATCATGGTTCACGCCGGAAATGTAGAAGGTTTTGTACCAAATTCGTTGTTAACATACAGAGCAGAGATCAAATCCGGAGACTACCATGACAACATGAACACAGAAAATTATCTAAAGTGGTTAAAGGAGAAACTAATACCAAATCTCCCAAATGATGCCGTTATAGTTTTAGACAATGCAGCCTATGATTACTCTACTTCGGAAATACCAACATCTAAATCCAATAAATTAGACACGCAGACTTGCCTGAACGCAAATAATATCTATTTTGAACCAAGCTTCTAAAAACAAAAAAAAACTTTATGAACTAATAATAAAAAACAAAGAAAACAAGTACAAAGTTGAAGATTTATTAAAGGAATGATCTTTTAGTGAGGTTTCACGGTGCTTCGGCTGCCTCCTTGCCATCCAGATTTAAACCCTATAGAAAACATTTGGGGTATTGTAAAAACAACGTTGCTAGGCGCAATATCAATCAAAATTACACTTCGATTATACCCATTTTAAAAGAATTTGAAATATTGTGATTTCTCAATAAAATTCAATAAAACTTTTTCACTTTTTTATTTAAGTTTATAATTGCCCCTTATTATAAAAATGGTAATATTATCGTATATCAACTAATAATCACATAAAAACCAGCACCTAAAAATCATCAAAAAATATAAAATTCAAGTAGAGCATCTTTCCCTTTGACCGTATTGCTCTCTCCTGATTGGTCTATTCATTGTAGTGTGCGCGTTCACTCATAGATAATCAGTGTGTACTTATAATATTCAAACATTAGTGGAAGCTTGCACACTTATACTATAAACGATTAGGAAAAATAGGTGGGGCTTGTCTTTGTGGATGGCACTATCTATTTATACATGATGATGAAATGCACAGTGGCTGTAAGGATTCAAATGCATATAGCTATAGAAATAAGGTTTAACATGACTTGGATAAGGTCGAAATTAAAATGAAACAAATGCAGTCAGATGATGACAAGGAAACAATGGGTTTGATTAAGGGCAGGAAATAAAATTATCAAACTCCAATTTGTGCTTTATTTATGAAAAAAATTGTAAATTATCCTACAATGAATCTCCGAATGAAATAGACTTACATATCGTTTTATGTATCAAATACATTATTTTGCTCGTCGCCAGATCAAACCACATAAGAACAATATAGTTTTAAAATTATTATCTACAGAATCCGTTCTCGGCGATTCGATTACCAAAAATACAATCTTCGTTTAGAGCGTGGGCTCGAGATCCGCGGCGCGTGCGTGCTCGTTCGGGTGCGTTCGGGCGCGTTCGGGCACGTTCGGGCGCGGTCGTGCGCGTCGGGCGGGCTCGGGCGGCTCGGGCGGCTCGGGCGGCGGACATATTTACACGGCGAATGTACAGGGCGGCGGCCGCTCAGCCGAGCAGCGCCTCCATCGTGTAGGGGTGCGGCGGGTGCGGCGGGCGCGGCGGCTCCTGCACGCACCACCACCTTATTGTAACATTCGTATCGCCACTCATCTCCATATCAAGCGCGACAATCTATCAGACCACCGAAGACTTTTTACTTGATACGAGGCATTCCATTTTAGTCCTCAGAGGTGACAACGAGTATGTAATCATCTAGGTGGTAGGTGTTTATTACGGACTGCAGTAACTATTTTCCATTAGGTGACCTGTAAGTTCGTTTGTTATTATAACTTTCTTTTTTATTCAGAGTTCTGCGTGCCGTCCACGTCGCATGTATTGCTATGTAAGATTGCCCATTTGATTAATTTTTGGGGGTATTTATTTGTTATTTATTCTCTGAAATGGATTTCATCCATCATAGCCAATAAAAGTTTACAATTGAATATAGGCATCCCCGATAAATTGTTTCATATTCCCACGCTTGACAAGTGAGTTTGGCAACCGGAGTATTTTATGTTAGTTTCTCTCCGTCGCCTCTTACGTCACCCACAAGACGCTGGATAATCTGAGCCACTACTCTAACTGAAAAGGATTACACGAAGGAAATCATAACATGATAACTTACAGTAACCTTACGAATTAGCCAGTGTTTTCTTTATTTGTTATATAAAAAGATGCCCGTGGCGCATGTGCGTGTGCGTGTGCGGTTGCGTGCGTATGTGTACGTAAATACGTGTGTGTATGCGAGTGCGTGTTTGCGGCGGTACCTGTCAGTCGAGGATGACGAGCTGCAGCGGCGGCGCACCCGCGGCCGCCTTGCCGGCGGCGGCGGGCAGCGCGCCCCCTGCCGCGCCCCCCGCCGCGCCGCCCGCGCCCCGCATGGGCCGCCACGGCGCGCGCGCTCCTCGCCTCAGCTCGCCGCTGCTCAGCGTCCGCCGGCCCGCCCTGTCACACAAACACACGCCTCATTTTATAACGTATTGCTGCGCGCCACCATTAACGTCTTGTACATGGCAACACTAGTTACCACTAGCGCCCTCTAGTGTCGAGTAGCAGAACTAGAAGAGTCCTTCTAGAAATTTCGGGACCGATGTGTACTCGAACATTCTAGATGTTTCTACAGTAGAAGGTTCTGGAAACTATCTGAGGCCCTATATAAAGCCGGTATAGACCACGACCGAATCAGTATTGAATTGGCGATACAAGAGAATACTTCGAAGCGAAATAACTGAGAACTAAAGTGATCAGTAGTACAATTGTGTTTTATTATTAGTGTGGTTTTACATTGTAATTAGTGTTTTGTAATTAAAGTGTCAATTTTGGTAATTCAATCGGTAGTTTTTAATTGTCTCGAACCCCAAGCTCGTAAGTATCCGCTACGTCCGCGAGTGTTACTCGTTTTCTACTAAACAGCAGAGCATAATAATATCAAGAACATTCATGAGTCAAATAATAAAAATAATACAGTAAAAATATTTTTCCACAACCCCGCATTATATAAAAGATCGGAAGATATAACTGTTCATAAGATATTATAGTGTTACAAATGTAAGCGCAAATAAATACGGAGACAGTTTTAATCGCTAATTAAAAACTTAATCAAGCCTTAATATACTTTACTTTTGCTATTTATTACTTGTCATTTTGTTCACAATAGAATTAAAAACCTACATTCAATATATTATAAACATACTTGGCGATGTCTGTGGCTCTGAAGTATAAGTCATCTGGTGCATCCATCCACGAGATGACATGACGACGGCCGCCACGACCTGTCAGGTTCGTCGGCTTGCCGTTTACCTGTAAAAACACATTTTAGTTAAATACATTTTGTTCATATATTATATTTATGTAATACACTTTATACCTTACTATTTCAAATATCGAGATAAGATTAGATTCCAAAAACTAACAATGCGTCGCTAACGCCGCAAAGGGGCGAACCTCAATTTTTCAAAAAATTACAGGAAAGCATGAAAACATTTATTATTCCCCGATTACTAGCTTTTTTTCGTCAGAAAATTAATAATATTTGTATGAATCATATTTTTTGTAGTTTTCCATTATGTATAATATATTTAATTCTCTGATGAAAAAAAAAACTAGTAATCGGGGAATAATAAATGTATTCTTGGTCTCCCGTAATTTTTTGAAAAATTGAGGTTCGCTCCTTTGCGGCGTCAACGACGAATGGAAAGCAGCAATACCCATGCAAATATGGATGCATTGCTCATAAATGCCAAGTGTTTTTATTATTTAAAACATCTTTTTTATCATATTTTTTTCTTGGAACGTATCTACTTTTTTTATAGGATAGGGTGACAAACGAGCACACAGTCCACCTGATGGTAAGTGATTCCTGTGGCTCATAGACATCTACATCTATCCCCGTTTGCGAATCAAAATGCAGATGCGTTATCACCCGTGAGGACTAAGATGGAATGCCTCTTTTCCAGTAAAAAGGGTCTCCGGTTCTCTACACTCACCATACGAAACACAGCAGTGTTAAGCTGCTATTTTACGTTGGTATTCTGTGAGAGCGTGGTCCTTCCGCGGTCGAGCCGACCCATTCGTGCTACGACTATACTACTAATATAGCTGCAGCATGGCTCTACCACTTATACGTATACTTGTCATGAATCTTGAGTTGTTATCAGGAAGATGTTGTTGCTCATCTCCCGTTTCATTTCCCTCTGTCGCCTCTTACGACAAAATTCACTACGAGAAATTCTGTGTTAAGCATATCCACTACAGGCACCATCATAAGTTTAGCTTTGTTCACTTAATATGAGAATGTCAGAATAAAACTTTTAATTAAAAAAATCGTACATAGTGAGAGAAAATGTCGATTGATTAATCGTCACGGATTGGTATCCGAATCGATAAACTGGATAACAGAATCTGAAAGCTCAGAAATTCCAGAGAAATTTCATGGCTTCCAATGAATTACGATAGCATCATCTAATATATTTTATACCGGCGGCGAGAAGCGTTACAGGTGCGAAACATCTGAAACTGCGAAGCGTGACGATAAACAAATCCTCATTAACGGGAAAAGCCCATGTTCGGCAATTGATTTTTACGTGTGGATGATGTAAAAGCTTTTTTTTATATAAAATCAATAAAGATTATTACATTGTTCTATTCACCACTGGTTCGGAAAATACCTCTGTCCTGGGAAGAACCAGCAAGAAATCCAGCGGGACTTTTATAAACATATTTCACTTTACAATAATTTTGTTTGTACAATTTTTTAATTAATTTTAATAGAACCAGCATGTAGGCGATCACCTGATTCCCAGGGGTTATTTTCATTTAATGTATTCTTTGATATTATAATAACCCTTTTTGTACAATTTTTCTTTAATAAAACATTTAGACTTATTTATTGACATATTTTGTACATTTTCTGGGATTTTATTGTAAAAGCGTATATATTGCCCCATAAATGAATTACTAATTCTGTGGAGTCTAATAACTGGTATTAGAAGCTTATGTTTGTTTCTAGTGTTTAAAGTATGAATATCTTTATTCTTGTCAAAACTATTTATGTTTTTATGTACATACATTACATTTTCATAAATATATTGCGATGCCAAAGTTAACATGTTTATTTCTTTAAATTTTCTCTTTGGCACTCATTACAATTTAAGTTATAAATCGCCCGTACAGCTCTCTTTTGCAAAACAAATATGACTTCAATGTCAGTCGCATTACCCCATAGCAAAATTCCATAAGACATCACGCTATGAAAGTAACTAAAATAAACTAATCTAACTGTCTCAACATCTGTGAGACTTCTAATCTTTCTTACAGCATATGTAGCAGAACTAAGTCTGCTTGCTAATTTAGATATATGGGGCCCCATTGAAACTTCGCGTCAGTAGTAATACCAAGAAAAACAGTGGTATCCCACATGACTCAACTCCTCCCCATTTAAGAGGACATTGGTATGTTTGACATTAGGTATTGTAAATTTAATACAAAAGTTAAAGAGCAAATTGTTGGCGTTAAACCAATGTACTAATATAAAAGCTTTTACAAAAAATTCTTTACTTCGCAAATATCCGCGTTATAAAATAAAATGATGTGTCTTACCTAGTACGAAGAGCACCTCCCGCCCTCCCTCAATTGCGTGCACTATCCCCGTCACCACTAATCCCAGCACCGCTACTCCCAACACCACTACACTAGGCAAGACATACCACTGACGATAATACGACACGTGTTTCGCTTCTACACGAGGCATCCTCAGGTGATATAGACTCTACGGTGGCTAACCGCGGTGCTGGGATTAGTGGTGACGGGGATAGTGTACGCAATTGAGGGAGGGCGGGAGGTACTCTTCGTACTAGGTAAGACACATCATTTTATTTTATAACGCGGATATTTGCGAAGTAAAAAATTTTTGTAAAAGCTTTTATATAATAGATTTCCGCAAAGTAACGCCTGATTCTATTAATTCAATGTACTAATTTCGATAGAGCATTATTTACATTGTCAAAGTTAATTGACTGTCGTTTGAGTTTAAAAATTAAAGAGGTCATCAGCAAATAATACTGTATCGTGATTGTTCCCTACAAGATAAGGCAAGTCATTAATATAGATTAAAAACAGGAATGGGCCAAAAATCGAGCCCCGAGGAACGGCCATTGACACTACCGATCCGGAGGAATCTTTACCATTGATAATGACTTTTTGAGTTCTGTTATATAAATAAGAAATAATAAGTCTAAGCGCAATATTTTTAACATCGTAATGTAGTAGTTTCCTGACTAATATTTCATGATGAACATAATCGAAAGCCTTGGAAAGATCACAAAAAATACCTAAGGCATTTAGAGTTGTAGCAGGTCAATGGGTCGGCTCGATCGGGGTAAGACCACTCTCTCACAGAATACCAGCGTAAAATAACAGTTTGATGGTTTTGTATTTCGTATGGTGAGTGTAGAGAACCGGAAATTTTTTACTGTTTACGAGGCATTCCATCTTAGTTCTCAGGGGTGAGGATACATACATCTGCATTTTGATTCTTAAACGAGGATAATGTCTATGGGCGGCAGCATCCATTTATCATTAGGTGGACTGTGTTCGTTTGTCACCTTTATTCTATATATTTTAAAAAAAATCGGAATGTGGATGTGTTGTGGATACGCCGTGAATACGTGTACATAAAAGGACAAATTATGTGACGTAGCCAAACGAGTTCAAAATGGTGGTGCTCCTTTTTCACAGTGAGACCCTTTTTACTGGCAAAGAGGCATTCCATCTTAGTCCTCACGGGTGACAATGCATCTGCATCTTGAGTCTTTATTGAGGATAGATGTAGATGTCTATGGGTCACAGTAACCACTTACCATCAGGTGGACTGTGCACTCGTTCGTCACCCTATCCTATCAAAAAAAAGTGTGGTACAGTGCTCAGGCAACGTAACGAATTCTTTTATCATTTACCCATCGAATAGTGTAATCAAATGTTGAATGTAAATGATATACATGTAGCTGCAACACCTAACTGTATTCCCCGATTTCTAAATTGGCCCTCACTATGGAAGCAAATTTTTTTTATTTAAAATAAAAAACTACCCCCACACTAGGATTTTCTCCTGTATCGTGGAGGCAGTTTACAAACATAAATGGCACAAGGACAAACATCCAGACCCGAAACAAATATTTGTAGGCCCTACAAATACTTGTTCCGTGCGGGAATCGAACCCGCGGCCCCCAGCGCAACAACTCATTGCTAAGCCACTGTGCCACGGAGCCGTCATCAAATTGAAAGACGTATTCCAGGTGTAAGGTGTAAGGTGGTGGGTGGCGTGTACAAAGAGGTTGCGTGTAGTTACGTGTGTGAAGACGTGCGCGGGCAGCGGCTGGCCGGTGGCCTGCGCGCGCGCGCACATGGCGGCGTACTGCTCGCGCGACGGCCGCTGCATGGGCGCCGGGTGCTTGTTGGGCCGCTTGGCCGGCGGCGGCGCGCCCGCCTCGCGCCCCGCCCCCGCGCCCGCGCCCGCGCCTGCCCCCGCCACCGCCATGCCCGCCATCGCGCCCGCTCCTGCGCACGTGTACCACATATGTAATATTATACACAATTATGCTATTGAAACAGTTCACGCACTCTAGGCAGGTGGCGGCCACGAGTTGCGGACGAAACTTTTCATACATATATTCCATTCGACGCCAGCCGAGCATTCGAGTGACCGCTTCTGAACCACAAGCTATAAATGTGGTCAGCACCCGCTACTTCAAGTCGAGATTTGACATCACCCAAGGGCACACGACCTCAAAAGCCAGCTTCGGTCACCCAACGCTCTATGCTATCGTCCAAGCTTAATATTCAGTTAAACAATCAAGTGTTTTCATTTTTAACCTTTAGAGGTTTTATCGTACAATTTTTAAATCGTATTAAAGAAATACATTTTGAATGCTAATACAAAATAAAGAAAAATTAATACTATCATCAATATGATTTAAATTTAAATTGTATTTATTTTATTGTTGTACGAACCTGTTGCTGTTCCGTTGAGGAGAGCATTATGAACAAAATATTTATTATAATGTTTGAACAGATTAAATGGAAAAAATTGTTTTCTAAAATAATATATTTAAATAAAACATAATATTTTAATAATATTATATTTACATAAAACTATAATTACGCTAAATACCGTAGAAACACACACTGTAATGTATATACATAGCAGATTACAGATATAATAGTAGCAATGTACATTGGTAATATTTTTCAAATGACAAAATCACCTACATGTGATGCATAATTATAATCAACGGTCACGTCTATGGCAACCACTTGTTACGGAAATATATACAAACATTATAAAACCAAATTTTATGAACTGATAATGGGAATGTTGGTAAAATTAAGAAAAAAAAATCTGCCGTAAGATCGTTCCAGTATGGTACTGTGAAAGCGTAACGTCCTCGCAAAATCGAGCCGACTCATTCGTAAAGCAAGCATCACGTTCTTTACTATCACGTCTCAATTAGATATTACTGATATATCGATATGATATATCAGTAATATCTGTATCTCGTATCATAAGTTTGTGTGTGTGTGTGTATGATTGTGCATAGGTGCGTGCATGTGTGCGCGCGTGCGTGCGTGTGAGGATGCGTGGCAACGTGCGTGAAAAGTATACTGACTGTCGAGTCCATTGAAGTCGTCGTAGGCGCGACGTTTGAGCGGAGGCGCGGGCGCTGGCTCGTTGCGTCGTGCCTCTATTTCGGCGCGCGAAGCCACGCGCTCGTACATTAGGCTGCCATCTGTAGATATAACATAACACATGTCACCACAAGCAAGGAAACATTGTAATATCATAATGTAGATGAAAAAAAGTTCAGTATAGAATAAGACAAAAGGAAGTCTATTTTAATAGTGGACTTAAATATATTGTAATATGACTAAAATAAATAGTTTAGAATATATCTTTTAATATAATTATACCTCGATTCTTAATGTTCCTTATTTTAAGGATTGAAACTACGTTAATCTTATATTACATTAGTATAATTTTTGAGCTTTTTAATCTTGTGGTAATTAAAAATATATATTATGTACTGTATTTCTTTCATACAGTAAAATGGAATAATAATATGACATCTTTTCTGTATTGTTTTTTAAACCGTGTAAGTGAATAAACGATAATTAAAATAAACTATCTGTACGGGCCGGAGTTCGCGACTCTTACAGCTTTTTTGATAGTTAATTAGCTTATAACTATGTAGTTTAAAGATAGTGTAAATATGAGTGGCGTATAAAGTAAGCATATGTGTTCCTACTTTAACAGTTTATAATACACACTGAGTTTAAATTAAATAATGGTGCATTATAAGTCATTTGCGGCGCGGCGGTTAGAATCGTGTCAGCATAAACTAAATTTATATGTTTTAGGACTGTACACAATTTTACCTTTAAACGCAATAATGTTTCAATGCACATGTCCTTGTTTTATTCTATCAGCAAAGCAACAACTCGCTTTGTGTATTTTATTTCCTTTTCGTGTTTGTGGCGAGACGTAACGTGTTAAAGTGATAGAGAGAGAGGGAGAGAAATAAGAGACAAGAGAAAAGCAGTGAGAAAGGAAAGGAAAGGAAGTAGGATACCTGGCGCCTTGGGCGGCTTGGGGAAGGCGACGTGGTGCGGCGCGGGCATGCGGTCGCGCGGCGTGAGCGCCAGCCAGTCCTGCGCGCGCGGCGCCGCCGAGCCGTGCGCCGCCGCCAGCCGCGCCGCCACCGCGCCCACCGGCCCGCGCGCGCGCGCCGCCCCCGCGCTGCCCGCGCCCGCTGCACCCGCCCCCGCGCCCGCCCCCGCCATCGCGAGCGTGCCTGCGCACCAACGAGAACATACATTTTATACAAGTTTACAATAAACACGACAACTGTTCATTATAGCGATTTTACACGGTACAACAAATTTATTTATTTCTTTCAATCTAATTCTGCATTTGAAAGATTCTCCTGGAGAATTAGAGAATGATATTCGCATATCATTAATAATTATAAGTATGAACTTCAGTAATCATAGATTAGAATAACATTTGCACATGATTTTAATTAAGTAAAAGATGTCTATGTTGAGCTTATGAAATATATTTTTAATGCCTGGGAGAATTCACAAGATGCCTTAGGTATTTTCTGTGACCTTTCCAAGGCTTTCGATTGTGTTCATCATGATACATTAATCAGGAAACTACAACATTACGGTGTAAAAAATTTGGCGCTTAAACTTAATACTTCATATTTAAGTAACAGAACTCAAAAAGTCGTCATTAATGGTAAATGTTCCTCCGGATCGGTAGTATCAATGGGCGTTCCTCAGGGCTCGATTCTTGGCCCATTCCTATTCTTAATCTATATTAATGACTTACCTTATCTTGTAGGGGACAATCACGATATAGTATTATTTGCTGACGATACCTCCTTAATTTTCAAACTGAAACGGCAGTCAATTAAATATGACATTATGAAACTAGTACATTGGTTTAACGCCAACAATTTGCTCTTAAACGGCAATAAGACAAAATGTATTAAATTTACAATACCTAATGTAAAACATTCGAAAACCAATGTGCTCTTAAATGGGGAGGAGTTGAGTCTTGTGGATACCACTGTTTTTCTCGGTATTACTATTGACGCGAAACTTCAATGGGGCCCCCATATATCTAAATTAGCAAGCAGACTTAGTTCTACAGCATATGCAGTAAGAAAGATTAGAAGTCTCACAGATGTTGAGACAGCTAGGTTAGTGTATTTTAGTTACTTTCATAGCGTAATGTCTTATGGAATTTTATTATGGGGTAATGCGACTGATATTGAAGCTATATTTGTTTTGCAAAAGAGAGCCGTACGGGCGATTTATAATCTAAATTGTAAAGAGTCCCTTAGAGAAAAATTTAAAGAAATAAACATATTAACTTTGGCATCGCAATATATTTATGAAAATGTAATGTATGTACATAAAAACATAAATAGCTTTAATAAGAATAAGGATGTTCATACCTTAAACACTAGGAACAAACATAAGCTTGTAATGCCACTTACTAGACTCCACAGAATTAGTAATTCATTTATGGGGCAATATATACGCTTTTACAATAAAATCCCAGAAAATGTACAAAATATGTCAATAAATAAGTCTAAACGTTATATTAAAGAAAAACTGTACAAAAAGGGTTATTATAATATCAAGGAATACATGAATGAAAATAACCCCTGGGAATAAGGTGATCGCCACCATGCTGGTTCTATGAAAATTCTTTTAAAATTGTATAAACAAAATTATTGTTAAGTGAAATTATGTTTAAAAAAAAAGTCCCGCTGGGTTTCTTGCTGGTTCTTCCCAGGACAGAGGTATTTTCCGAACCAGTGGTAAATAAAATAATGACTTTCAATAAGTATTATGTAATAATCCATATTGAATAAAAATCATTCTATTCTATTCTATTCTACATTTGATACGCAATTATGCGTATAGTACGCATACTCACGTCTGTGACTCGGAAGAATAGACAAAAACTAATGTATTCCATTTGACATGATCTTAACACATCATTGTTAGCATTATTATGCATATTAATATTACGTGTACTAATATATATTGTGTTAATGACCAGCATTAGAAATGAACATACAATCCGAAGGTGGTAAGTGGATATTGTAACCTATAAATACGTACACCTATCTACGAATAAAAATCTATAAAATAAAGCATTTTTTTAATCTTTTCTTCCTAGAGTTGCGGAAGATCCGTAAGTGGTGTTGATCTGGTTAATATAGCGTGTGTAGGTACTCACAGTCGGGCTTGACGATCGAGGCGCGCAGGTACAAGTTGAGTTGTTAGTGTTGGTACAGTGTCGGTAGAGTGGGTGTGCGTACTCACAGTCGTGCTTGACCTGGTGCAGGTTGATGGGCGCGAAGGGGTTGCGCGCGTAGTGGCGCGGGCGGCGCAGCGCGCGCGCCAGGCGGCGGGCGAGGCGCGTGAAGGGCGAGGCGCGCAGGTACAAGTTGAGTTGTTAGTGTTGGTACAGTGTCGGTAGAGTGGGTGTGCGTACTCACAGTCGTGCTTGACCTGGTGCAGGTTGATGGGCGCGAAGGGGTTGCGCGCGTAGTGGCGCGGGCGGCGCAGCGCGCGCGCCAGGCGGCGGGCGAGGCGCGTGAAGGGCGAGGCGCGCAGGTACAAGTTGAGTTGTTAGTGTTGGTACAGTGTCGGTAGAGTGGGTGTGCGTACTCACAGTCGTGCTTGACCTGGTGCAGGTTGATGGGCGCGAAGGGGTTGCGCGCGTAGTGGCGCGGGCGGCGCAGCGCGCGCGCCAGGCGGCGGGCGAGGCGCGTGAAGGGCGAGGCGCGCAGGTACAAGTTGAGTTGTTAGTGTTGGTACAGTGTCGGTAGAGTGGGTGTGCGTACTCACAGTCGTGCTTGACCTGGTGCAGGTTGATGGGCGCGAAGGGGTTGCGCGCGTAGTGGCGCGGGCGGCGCAGCGCGCGCGCCAGGCGGCGGGCGAGGCGCGTGAAGGGCGAGGCGCGCAGGTACAAGTTGAGTTGTTAGTGTTGGTACAGTGTCGGTAGAGTGGGTGTGCGTACTCACAGTCGTGCTTGACCTGGTGCAGGTTGATGGGCGCGAAGGGGTTGCGCGCGTAGTGGCGCGGGCGGCGCAGCGCGCGCGCCAGGCGGCGGGCGAGGCGCGTGAAGGGCGAGGCGCGCAGGTACAAGTTGAGTTGTTAGTGTTGGTACAGTGTCGGTAGAGTGGGTGTGCGTACTCACAGTCGTGCTTGACCTGGTGCAGGTTGATGGGCGCGAAGGGGTTGCGCGCGTAGTGGCGCGGGCGGCGCAGCGCGCGCGCCAGGCGGCGGGCGAGGCGCGTGAAGGGCGAGGCGCGCAGGTACAAGTTGAGTTGTTAGTGTTGGTACAGTGTCGGTAGAGTGGGTGTGCGTACTCACAGTCGTGCTTGACCTGGTGCAGGTTGATGGGCGCGAAGGGGTTGCGCGCGTAGTGGCGCGGGCGGCGCAGCGCGCGCGCCAGGCGGCGGGCGAGGCGCGTGAAGGGCGAGGCGCGCAGGTACAAGTTGAGTTGTTAGTGTTGGTACAGTGTCGGTAGAGTGGGTGTGCGTACTCACAGTCGTGCTTGACCTGGTGCAGGTTGATGGGCGCGAAGGGGTTGCGCGCGTAGTGGCGCGGGCGGCGCAGCGCGCGCGCCAGGCGGCGGGCGAGGCGCGTGAAGGGCGAGGCGCGCAGGTAGAAGGCGGCGCGCGTCTTCATGACAGGCCGCGCGCCCTCGCCCGCGCCGTGCGCCGTCGCCACGTGCCGCGCCAGGTGCGCGCGCAGCTTGAACTCCTGCAGACACATCACCACATACAATCGTATATCCACTGCTGGATATAACCCTCTTCCGTTGTGTTGTCGTTGTCTTGGCTTTGATTAAACTAAATCAGTGCGCCATCTTCGGCTGCATCAGGTGTGGTGAGAATAGTAAAAAAATCTCACCCACGCGCTAACTACAGCGTCATACCTCGAGTAATAAGAGGCCATCCTTTAATCACATAAAACCCTTTCATACCCCTACCTTTCCTATTTCAATTAGGAGTGAGATGTACGTAACAGATAAAAAAAAAACAGGTATCTTAATATAGCAGACTGTAACTGTGTCAAACAAACTGAAAAAACAGCTCCTTTGCCACGAGATAGCAAATCCACTAGAAACAGTCACGAGTTTTTCTTTATTCATACAACACATGACAGTTACCTTTGTTAGTATAAGTTAAAAAATGATACTGTGACACCCTGTTACTCGTCACAAGCTCTTTCCTTTTCTCGCATAGGTTCGACACCTTTGCACAAACAAACTGAAAGAACAACTGTTTCACGAGATTATTCGAGATAATCCATTATGTTCGCGCCAAACGCTAATTTCAAGAATTGACGCCAGAGGGCGCTCGGCGCGGTGCATTCGTATCGGTTTGACGTTTGCGCGAGCGGAGTTGGTTGCGAGCGAAGCGCGTCGGAAGTAATTACCAGTAGCTTGACAGCAGCGGCTTTGGCGACTAGCGTATTTATTTGTGACCGCTGCATCGGTTTCGAGCTGCCAGTTTTGGTTTTGGTGGTCTAGAATTTGAGTATTTGTGCGCGTTTAATTTGCTATTGAATATTTGGGTTTCGAGTAGACCGCCAGGAATTAGTTTGTCTAAGTTGTGCATTTCGTGACAAGAGGCTTGTATTGAATTTGAGTGATTAAAGTAATTTCGTTGGCAAGTAATTACGTCAATTTGTATAGTGATTGCATGTTGAAGTGCGATTTGCAATATTTAACTTGCTTGTGTGACGTGGAACCTTGCGCGCACGCCGAGTGGACAGACAGTCTGGAATTTGATGCTCGCATTCCATTTCGAGGGCGTGGCCCGGTTAATTGTTTCTAGAAGTTAATGTTGAACAGTAACGTCGCATTAAGTGCCTTTTTGTGTGTTGACTAATTAGTTAGTTTTGCGTGTCAGCGAGGCTGATTTTGAGTTCTTATTGCGGGCGTAGTATTTTAATATCGTACGAAAGAATTTACTTTGTTGTTTGGAACGCTGAACCTTGTGACTCGAGAAGAGATCGCGTTCGCACGGGTGGTTATAATTTTGTTGCTAAGTGAAAATGGAAGTTGAACTTTGAACGACCGTTCATTAGTTGTGCCGTGTGTCACGTGTTTGATTTCGATGAACGTTGAATTGGTTGACTTTGAAGTTAATAATGTACAATAAAGTTGAGTCAATTGGTAATCTACGACTGGAGGGAGCGCACATTGGGAGAACATCAGCGTCTGCGGTTCGACTTCCACGGTTAAGTCAGGTCTCACATTGTACACACTACTATACACTACTCACATGCACGTCACTTATCACCTGACTGGTACCCTGTGGTCAACCCTACCTCCTGAAATAGGTAAGTGCTTGCTTATTTGTCAGCCGTATTTTGTACATTTATCCATAGGCCGTTGGGCCCCGTCCTCTGTTGCCCGTCAATGGGATTACTCATAGGCCCTAGTCCAGTCAACCTTTGTTGGGGCAACTCAGGGCGTGAACACGTTAAAAAACAGTTACAAGCTTTTCTTTATTCATACATAATACAGTTACCATTGTCAGAATAAGATAAAAAATGTTACCGTGACACCCTGTTACAGTTGTCACAAGCTGTCCTTTTCTCCCATAGGTTCACCACCTTAGTTAGAAAGAGAAGTACCTACCAAGCATGTAGTAACAGACTGCTATTTTGTAACAGGTTTTTAAGGAATTGTTATTTATTTGGACCTGGAATAGCTGGAACAGATATGCGATTTTACATGTTACATCAAACTTCTAATATCAATACGTCGTAACGTATAATAAGTACACCCCCACCCCTCTCAACATTACTTTTTAAAGATCAGATATTTTTAGAATCAGTGGTAATATAAGAATATCATAAAAATAGATTCTGCAACACCATAAATATTACCATCACAGTACTGATACATGATACCATAACAAGATGTTTTTGGTATTTCCCATAGTCACCACTTTCACACGCGTTACGAAAGAAAACAATGGAGCACATACACCGCTATCACACTATATACATAAATTATCTTTATATATAAAAATGACGTGTCACGTTGTTTGTCCGCGATGAACTCCTAAACTACTGAACTGATTTCAATAAAATTTTGCACACAGCGTGAGTTCGGTCCAACTTGAAAGATAGGATAGTTTTTATCCCGATAAGTGACCTCAATATTTTTTATTGCGTATTTAAGGTTTTTTTAATAGGACAAAAGGTCGTCGGTATGGGCAGAACAACGTCTGCCTGGCCAACTAGTTAAATAATATAAATTATCAATTGAAGTAAAATATCTTACTACCTTTAAGTGATAATTATATAGTCGATTATTTCAGATAACAATGGTATCTTCACAAATTACTAATAATACAAAATATTTTATTAATAATACAATTTGAAAAAAAAAATGGTATCATCCACAACCCCATTTCAACCCGTGGGTGTCGAAGAAAAGTGAAACAGGAGATATCCATCTTCCTAGATCCAGCTCTTCATGTGTCCCCACACATAAAAATCCATGGAGGTTAGTTCTGGACTTCTAGCGGGCCACCGTATGGATCCACCTCTTTCGATTCACTTATTAGGATAAATTGTATCTAACCATTCTCTTAAACTTCTCCTGTAGTGTATACTCTCATGCTGAAAACACATGTCCCGAATGAGATTGAGTGGTAAATCGCGGGTAAATAATGTTTTAAAAAGTTTTCGTAGTATTCTCCATTTAAATTTTCAGGGAGAAAGTAAGACCCAATCAAATTGTTCGATATTATGCCCATCCATACATTCAAACTCAATCGTCTTTGTGATCCCTTTGTGCGCTTCTTATTGCGATTTCCATGTTCTTTCGAGGCCTAATAATGAGCGTTGTGGTAATTGGTTATACCGTCTTTATCGAATTTCGGCTCATCTGTCCACAAAATATTTCTTAGAAATGATAGATCTTCTAAATCTGCACTGAGCATAAATCTGCAGAAATCCAACCTCCTCATAGGATCTTCTTCGATAACGTGTACCAGCGTGTAGTGATAGGGGTAAAGACTGGCAGACGGTAAACCACACATTCCACCCAAGTTCTCGGGCAACGATATTTGTTGAAGTAGTTGGATCATAATCATTAACACGTGGTCTATCCATGTCGGCTCGTCGCCTTGAAACAGAGCGAGTCTCTCTAATTCATCGGTAAACTCCGTCTAACACACTAACATCCGGCACTCGACGGTTGGGATAACGTGCTATGTATTCACCACAAGCTCGTGGGTATACACAATTGCAGTATCCGTAACAAATCAAAATATCTGCATATTCCTAGTTTGTAAAGGTTGCCATCTTCAACAGTTCAAAATGAGAAGCACAAATCAAAATCCAGTTAATAAGCACAAGTCACAAATCGAAAGAAAAACAGTCCAGAAATACGAGCCAAATCTAATCAGAAATAAAGAGTCGGTTTATGCAAATTTTTTGTCTCGTTCACACCGTATGATATCCCGCTCGCACGAACCGTATTCTCATGAAGGACAATAGACGCAACAAGGAACATAACGAAGAATCGCTATTTTCCTTGTTGCGTCTATTGTCCTTACTTGGGAGTCATTCATCTAAGTTTTTTTCCATTAATTATAATAATACCCATAAGTGTTACACCTTTTTGGATAACTGAAGAAACGTAGATATTTATAAGCACATCTGCAGCATACTTACCATATACTTTTTTTTTTAATATTCCTGAGAAGAAAATGGTTTTTACGAATTTATTCCTTTTTCGAACCTTCAAATTACGGGTTACGACCCGATTTGTTTAGTTACTTATTGTATTATTAGTACTATATTGGTGTTCAGAATAATAAAACAATAAGTTGTTAATAATAATAACAACAAACTCTAATAAATTAGAGGCACTAATTTAGTCTATTTTATGAAAGAACTTCAAATTCCTGTATTAAAAAAACGGTTCAGTTTAGGGTATGGTGTTTGATAGTCAAATCAGTCAGAAATGATGCACACTACAACCCCTTAATGGATCTAGGTCGACTTAACCTGTAACCTTTTAACCCTTAAAGGCTACTACGGTGTTTTTACACCCGAGTGACTTAATTTTGTACCTGTATCTTTTTTCAGTTTTAACGCAGCGCCTTGAGATTTCGTGTATTCTCGTATATCGACAGTAGCCCTCGAGGACGCGGGGAGAGTGGTTGTGCGCGAGCGCCCGTCCCGAGATACACTAGTGACCCGGTGTTTTTTCACCCATAGTAGTCATAGTGGGTTACAACTTAGGTAATTAACTTTTTTTGTTTTATTTTTAGTACGTGTGTACTAGTGTATAGAATATGATATTCGTGTGTGTATTATTATGTGTATTGTATTTATTATTTTTATTTGATGTGTTATTGTATTTAGATGTATATTATGATATTTTTATCTCAGATTATGCAGCAACTGAGGGAACAAGAAAACTACGGTGTTTTTACACCCGAGTGACTTAATTTTGTACCTGTATCTTTTTTCAGTTTTAACGCAGCGCCTTGAGATTTCGTGTATTCTCGTATATCGACAGTAGCCCTCGAGGACGCGGGGAGAGTGGTTGTGCGCGAGCGCCCGTCCCGAGATACACTAGTGACCCGGTGTTTTTTCACCCATAGTAGTCATAGTGGGTTACAACTTAGGTAATTATTAGTTATTATAGTTTATTTTTAGTACGTGTGTACTAGTGTGTAGAATATGATATTCGTGTGTGTATTATTATGTGTATTGTATTTATTATTTTTATTTGATGTGTTATTGTATTTAGATGTATATTATGATATTTTTATCTCAGATTATGCAGCAACTGAGGGAACAAGAAATAGAAGATGCACTGCTGGCATCGGATGAAGAGTCGGCAGAAGAGGAGGACTCTGTAGAAATGGATATTCATGAAGAAGATGCACAAAGTGTCCACGATGACACTACTTCTAATATATCAGAAGCTCAGTTGGAGATGGAAGTTGATGAGTCTCCTTCTCCACTGGATGGAAGACAAGTAAAATTAGGTAATACACATTTTACTTGTATTGGAAACATGTTGTTACCCCAAAAAAAAGTTTTGAAGGGCAAGGAAAAGCGAGGATACCCTACCTACAAATGGAGTACTAAGCCACCGCCTCCTCATCGAACTCCTGGTAGCAATATAGTCCCATATTTACCAGGTCCTGTGGGTGTTGCCAAAGAAGTGACTACAGAACTGGATGCGTTTGAATTGTATTTCAATAAAAAATTATTGATACTATTCTTGTTCATTCTAACCAGGAAATCGCTAAACAAAAAGCAAATTATGGCCCGCAAACTTCATATACAAAAGATGTTGACATCTCAGAGCTGAAAGCCTTTTTTGGCCTTTTGTATCTGACTGCAGTAAAGAAAGATAACAGAGTATCAACTAATTTTTTGTGGGGCATCTCTGGCAGTGAAATTTACTCAGCCATCATGTCAAAAGAGCGTTACAAATTTCTAACCAATTGTTTACGGTTTGATGACCGTATGACCAGGGACATCAGAAAAAGTACAGATGAATTTGCACATATCCGTGATATTTGGGAACTGTTTATGAAAAATTGCGCTGATCTGTATCGTCCATCCGTAAATTGTACTATTGATGAACAACTTGTGGGTTTCAGAGGACGATGCAAATTTAGAATCTATATTCCTAGCAAACCAGATAAGTATGGTTTGAAACTGGTCCTCATGTGTGATTCTTATGATCGGTACGTGATATCTGGAATGCCCTATCTAGGAAAAGGGACGCCAAATGGAAGCAAACCTCTTGCAGAGTATTATGTTGAAAATTTGACTAAATCTGTTCATGGTACAAATACAAACATTACCTGTGACAACTGGTTCACATCTGTACCTATGGCAAATAATATGCAAAATAAATACAAACTAACAACGGTTGGTACCATGCGCAAGAACAAAGTAGAGATACCGCAAGACACCATCGTAACGAAGAATCGTCCCATAGGAAGTTCAGTGTTTCTATACAATACACATGATAAACTTCAACTCTCTACGTATTGTCCAAAAAAAAATAAGATTGTGATACTTTTGTCGAATATGCACCATAAATCAGCAATATCAGAAACAAGCGGGAAGCCAGAGGTTATTGAATACTATAATTCTACTAAAGCAGGAGTGGATGCTGTTGATCAGATGTGTCATAGCTACAGTTGTTCGAGACGAACAAAAAGATGGCCGTTGGCTATTTTTTACAACATGTTGGATGTAGCAGGAATAAATTCTCACACGATTCTCAATAACAACAATAATAGGAATGGCAAAAGCCAGGAATCTCGAGCCGAATTCCTATACAAGTTGTCACTGGATCTAATGTTACCATACATAAAAGACAGACTCAAAATTCCAAACTTACGGCACAAGATTAGAGACAAAATCGAAAGCGTAATCAGTGAACACCGAAAGCTACACTCTGATAATCAAGGTACTCTGTCGGGTACCAGCATTCGAAGAGTTGATTATACAGAGTCCTTGAGAGATTCACAAATTGATAATGAAGAAGGTTCACAAGAGAGGGCCACGAAAGCTAAACAAGGCAGATGCGGAATTTGTAAACCGAAAGGAGATAAAAAGTTCACAGCTAAATGCTCTAATTGTTCAGTATTTATTTGTAAACTACACCGTAGTTTGGTGTGCGTTAACTGTAGTAGTAATATTTTGTTAACCAAAGAATAACGCAATTTAGAAGTAATTGTTAGTTTTCATTATTTTTGTTTATAATTAGTAAAAAGAAGGTTACATTATATTTATTTTGTGTTACAAGCATTTAAAACAAAAATTATCTAGTTATCATTTTGATTTGAAAATTTCATATGTTTTATTTTATATACTAGGATAAATAATATACCAAATTCAAGGCTTATTTATGATAATTAAAAATATAAAAACTGATTAAAAACTCGTACTAGTTTTCTTTTTTTTTTCAATTATTTTTCAAACCCCTTCGAAATTACTATGTTTTTGGGAAGATTTTTTGAACATGCAATTTAAATTGTTGTTATTTAAAAAAAATAAACCTATGAATGAATAAATCCAAGAACATTATCCATAATTTAAGAATATTAAAAAAAACAATAATATATTTATTCATTCATATAATTTTTTCTAATAAATAAATCCGGGTGTTTTTACACCCATTGTAGTCTTAGCAGTATACAAATTCATTGTAGTCTTTAAGGGTTAAAGGAATGCTAAAAAAGAGTACTTGAATTTTCGATGTTAACATATTAATACAATGATAAAGATGTTCAGTGTGTTATATCCCATAGGTTAGTAATAGTATATTGTTCCATGTGGTATATGCAAATGTGAATGAATGAATGAATGCGTGTGCGTACCTTGGCGCAGTTGAGCACGGTGCAGCGGTGCGGGCGGTGCGAGGCGGACAGCGCGGTCTCGTCGCCGTCGCGCGCGCCCTTCACCGCCTCCGCTTCGCTCTCGCCGAACACGCCCGCCGTCTGACAACCGCACAACAATATAATATATTAATATTGTCATCATATTCTTGCGCCAGAACCACGCTGCAATTGTATTATGTTTCAAACAACAGTGGTAATACTCCTTTTCTGTCTCAGAGTCCCTCTGGATAGTTACCACCCTCTTACCGATGTATGCCGCCAATCAGTAGTGCGAGAACTATTTTGTTCCAGTCATAAAGGTATAGAGAGCCATTATAATTACAGGCTGTGTGGTATTTCACCTTATTACTCAGAGGTTACAATGCACTTTTTAGCCTTATTTGAAGTTTATTGTACAAAACAAAGTTAATTTTTGATCGAACACTAGACGTGGACATTGTTATGTTATGATAGTGATTTCACCTGTGATATAATATCACGGGTATGTTTTTCAATGACATTGATCGAATGTTATCCACACTGTAATCAGGTGGAAAATGAGTAAGAAAGGCAGATGCTAGCAAATTATTCTGCTTCTTTGCTGTATGCACGATGAGCGACTAAACAAATCGTTTGGTTAGAATCTATAATATGTCCAAAACAAAAGGGTGGACACTGGTCGCGCGTCTGGTATTTTGATGGTGTCAAGAAGCAGAAGGAACTGAGTCTTACAATTCCTATGATAGCTCTCAAAAATGTATATTGTAGAATACTGGTAAGATTATTTGAATTATAATTAGATTATTTACTAATTATTTGGCATGAAATACCAAAATCATTATTTTACTTCTACAGCTCTATAAAAACACTACTACTTTACATATATAAATAAAAAACTCACCTTAAGTCCTCCATATTTTTTCCAATACTGCCAGCAAGAGCCACAAAGTCTGTACTGTAAATGTTGAGGACCCCACGCATACCACTGGTTTGAATTCGTAACTGGAACACCAAGAATTGCCAAATAAAATACAGTGTTTTGGAAAATGGTTTGATAGTGCAAATATATGATAACATAACAATAAAATAATATTAGATTATTAATTATTAAAAAATTAGGTGATAATGGTAGATAGTGCCCAATGGCACTATCTACCATATATAATATATACCATATAACTTGAAACACCATTTGCAAAAAAATGCACTAGTCGATGAGTATAGTGTATAAAAGTGGCAAATTAACAAAATAACTGTGAAGTGTGTGAATATGAACGCTTTGTCGTACACATTGTGATATTTATTTATCAAAGTGGTCAGTTGTTTCGTAATGAAAGGAATGCACATCCGTGTGTAGAGCAGGTGCGGCAGGCGCGGACAGCGGTACCTTGGCAGGAGGCGCAGAGGTGCGGCAGGGGCGCGGGCGTGCCGTTGGTGGCGTTGGTGCCGCCGTTGAGCACGGCCGCCTTGCCGCCCGCGCAGCCCGCGCCGCTCGCCAGCAGCGCCGGGTTCGGCTTGTTGCTGCAACATCATGCCTCCACCTTACCCATATACTCAACATACATTCACGCATTATTATCTAATATATAAATAACTTCATTTTTTTTACTTTTTTTTTTTGAAAATTTTTACGTTTTTTTAACATATTCTTACATTGTCATTCGCATTTAAGCTAAATTCAAAATATCAAGTTTCCAGCTCATGGGGAAGATAGTTTAAAATTAATTCCACCCTGAACGACACATCAACAAGAAAGTGACTTAATAAAAACGTGGTAAAATAATGTTTGTTGCTTTGTTCGTATTTTATGCATTGCCATACATCAAATTGCAGTAAAACTTTGTCAACTTATTGCTTGCACAAAGGTCATAGGCATAGTACAATTACATTACAGTAGGTGGCGCGTGCGTCGTACATTTACAATGAATGTATTATCATTCCTAAATAAACATAACTCTCCAAATTTAAAACTATATTTCTACAATTATTTCTTCTGCGGCAGCAACGCACCTAATACCAACCAGTTATATAATATTATTTTATAATTTGCCGGCTCCATAACGCAGTGACTTAGCAATGAGTTGCGCCGGTGACCACCTGCGCTGAAGTTCGAATCTCGAACGGAACAAGTATTTGTATGATATACAAATAATTGTTATAAATCTGAATGTTTGTCCTTGTATAATTTATTTATGTAAACTGCCTCCATGATACAGGAAAAGGTCCTAGTATAGAGGTAAAGTTTCTTAAAATAATAATAATAAATAATAAACAAGCACACGGATATACGAGCACACAGTCCACCTAATGGTAAGTGGATGCTGTGGCACAAACATCCACATCTATCTTCGATTAAGAATCAAAATGAAGATGCATTGTTCAGAGTAAAAAGGTGCTTTACATTCACAATAATGGGCTCACTCGAAATATGGCAGCATTAAGTTGTTATTTTACGCTGGAATTCTGTAAGTGTGCTCTGCACTCGATCTAGCCGACTCATTCCTGCTGTAACTATAATATAGCTGCAGTGTGGCTCTACCTCTTTAAGATTTACAACAATGACTTCGACGTTGAAGATGTGTAATTGCGGGCGTCGACAAGGAATCCATCATTTCATAGAAAATATCTTATGGCTATAAAATACATAGCCAGACCAGCGACGCCATGCAGAGTCAAAAGTACGAGACGTGCATGTCGAGCAGTGGATTTTACGGCTGATGAAGAAATTGCAGAAGAAAAGTCGACACTTGTGTCGTTTAAAATATTTTTACTAGATGAAAAAATAAACGTAATAAAAATTGTATGGGAATACCACCAAAAGGGGTCATACTTTCATCTAGCTATATCTTTTTATATATTTAAATAATAATAATCTAATTTAAGATAATAGAATCAGGCATTACTTAGATATAATAACCCTTTGCAAACTAAGTAAGACACTTAATTTTATATGCTTTTTCTCTGTTTAACTAATAATAAAACACATTAACATAAACGAAACGAAAACTGCAACATATTAAGTAATGTGGCGATTGGTACAAACACTCACTAATTGGGAATGTACACTTGTTTCAGTTTAGACTCGGCCTCGACCGCCTTGACGCGTTTCTGTTGTACATAGCGGTCCGTCGTCTTCCACATGTAGTAGTATTCCACCAGGTTCTTTAGCGTCTTCCATGGCAACTGCAAACATTTTTATATATTTAATCAATCTGTGTGTAAATTCTTGAATACATTTAATAAAATATCTAAACTTAAAAGGATATTGGAGCTGCAAGAAATATGAACAACATTTTAACAGGTTTTTAACACAGTTTTAACGTGGTAGAGCCATGCTGTAGCTATATTAATTATATAGTTGTAGCACGAATGGGTCAGCTCGACCGGGGAAAGACCCCGCTCTCACAGAATACCAGCGTAAAATAGCAGCTTAATGCTGCTGTGTTTAGTATGGTGAGTGTAGAGAACCGTAGACCCTTTTTATTTGAAAAGTGGCATTCCCATCTTAGTCCTCACGGGTGACAACGCATCTGCATCGAGTCTTTATTGAGGATAGATGTGGATGTCTATGGGCTACAGCAACCACTTACCATCAAGTGGACTGTGTGCTCGTCTGTCACCCGTTCCTATAAAAAAAACTCAGACAAGACGTATGGCAGCAGCGTCAAGGATACGAGACCGAAGTGTCTGATACTGCTACTGCAATTGTCAATCCGCCTGCCAATGTTAGGCTCAGTAGCAATGATTCTTAACTGTCTCATTACAAATACAAGTGGGATTAAGCCCGCTATTAACCAAAAAAATAATAAGCAAGACGCACCAATACAATAAATATTCTTCGAGCGGCTGTGTGGTCCGCGAACATAGAGTTCAATTATAATTTGCCATCAGGTGGACTGTATGCTCGCTTGTCACATTCTTGTGTATTAGGATCAAGCCAAATGAAAGTCCGTAGCCTCTGCTCAGCCCTCTGGGTGACAGGTGTGAGAGTTTATATAATTAATGGCAAAAACAAGGTATAGGAACATAGCAGTGACAAATATAGGTTGTATCGTAGGAAAATATTTGCAGTGTTATTATGCATGAAGAAAACAGAGGAATATGTTTATGTGCACTAAACAAACCACAGTTAATATCCTTTTGTCTTAAGGCCGATTTACACCTCGACAGGTATATTAGCGAGTTAACTAGCGAGCCTGGCGAGTTAAGTAGAAAATCCCATTTGAACGGTAATGGGTGAGTTAAGTAGCAAATTAACAATTAAGTTGAACTGGATAGCTGGTCGGTCGGGTTAGTTTTAGAATCGTTTGGCAGGAATTTGGGGGGGTAAGATGTTTTATTTGGTAGAGGTATGGTCCCCGATTATAACAATAACCACTCACATTAAAAGGTTATGAACCGTTTTCTAGAAAATTAAAAAAAACCTAACCTAACCTAAAATGTGTAAAACATGGACGGCTCCGTGGCGCAGTGGCTTAGCAATGAGTTGTTGCACTGGGGGCCGCGGGTTCCCACACGGAATCCAGCACGGAACAAGTATTTGTATGGCCTACAAATAATTTTTCTGGGTCTGGATGTTTGTCTTTGTGAAATCTATGTTTGTACACTGCCTCCACAATACAGGAGAAAATCCTAGTGTGGGGGTAACGTTTAAAAAAAATATAATAATAGATAAAAATAATAGAAATAATGGAAAACTTATGTTTGAACGCAACTGCCCACTTAACCGTTTACTGTCAACTGCCCTGTAACTAAACTTGCTACTGTACTTGTCGAATCGACCTTTAATGATAAGGGATTGTAAGAAGGAAAGGTTGTTGTTGATAATGACGAATAGTAAATTAAAGGAGATATTAAATATTCGCTATTCTATATAGAGACACATACCATTCAAATATGTTTACTTCCATTATGTTTCCGTCATTTTTTAATTAATAATAAGAGAAGCCGGCATCTGGAATCTTTTATTGCAATAATGTCTAAAGGTATGGTACAGTGGCGCAGTTGCTACGCGTTTGTTTGAAATGCTGTAATCTCGCTTGTTGTTTTGCTGACATTTGGTTGAGGGACCTTAAGCTGGTCTGGTTTCTTTTCAAATCTGCGCGTAATTTGGCTGTTTTTATGTTTATGGTATCGAATCCAATCCCTTTACTTATTTATCATACAAATAATTGCACCTAAACGTAATGCAAAATCGAGGTGGAATCGGATATCGGAACGTGCAGCAAAACAAGAGAGACACTGAAACTCGACACGTATCAGCAAAGTGCAGTTGCATATGCTTCAGTCTGATATACATCCATTCATTACAGCTTATAAAAGTCCACTGCTAAACATAGGCTTCCTTCATAGATTGCCATAGTGTCTATGCATAAGATAAGATGTTACTTCTTCGGTTTCAGTTTCCCGCTGTCGCTCTTATGACACCCACGAGATTCTTTTACGTCGTCACTACACGAGTTTTGATATATGGAATCGTATATTAAAACGCATATGAATCTAATAAGTTATAGATATCCTAAATATAATATACGATTTCACAAAAACTCCGACGAACGTCGCAACGGGACATATTTAAAATAACGCAACATACTAATCAAAACAATCTCAACAAATGCACCACGAAACAAGAACAAAATATATATATATATATATATATATATATATATATATATATATATATATATATATATATATATATATATATATTAGTGTATATTATATGATGTTATTATTAGTTATTAGTGTAAAAAAAAGATGCTGCGAATATTAAATAATGTTCATTGTTGTAAGTTTTTTAGTACAGACAGTTAGTTGGCTTTTAGTTAAAAGTAATTTAAAATGATAAAAATTAATTAACAGACATTTTTTATTTTTTGAGTTAGCGTGCGTTTTGATGTTTAGTCACTATTTATTTTTATTCGAATTTGAGCTTGGTGACGCTTCGTCGTAATTATGAAGTCGTGCGTAGTCAAGCATGAAATGCAACCGCCATAATCAACTTAACGTTTTCAAATTACTCACTAAGTTCTTTGGTTATGAAAATGATGCACTAACAGCACAAAAATATGTATCTTTAATAGAATAAGGGTGACAACGACTTCACAGTCCATTCGATAGTAAGTGGATGCTTTGGCCTATAGACATCTAAATCTATTAAGAATCAAAATGCAGGTGCGTTGTCACCCCTGAGAACTAAGATGGAACATCTCATCATAGCCAGCAAAAGGGTTATTGATTCTTCTACCCTCATGGATGCTTTGGCCCATAGACATCTACCTCGATCTTTCCTCGACCAAGAAGTATATTAAGTATAAAATGCCACAATGCAGGAGAAAATCCTATTAGTCCGTTACTTAAGAAAAAAGGAGATTTACTTTGTTGGATTGAGGTACCCTACCAGATTCTGATATAGTTGGATACTCACAAAGTCCTGTCGTATGTCGGCGAAGTCCTTGCCGTACTTGTCGAGCGCCTCCTCGAAGAGGTTGGCCTCGGAGGCGGACCACTCCTCCATCTCGTCGCGGCACAGCACGGGGCCTGACGCAGGCACCAGCGACGACAGCGCCGCCTCTATGCTGTATCCGGACTTGTGCAGCGTATCCATCGCGTGGAACTGTACAACCACGCGCAAATTACACAGATTGCTTTATAATTTAGTAACATCAAGTTCAGCGTGTGATGGCGATATAATAAATTTTTGACTTCAGCGAGTTTTTGTACACTCAACTTTTAATAATTTTCTTACTGATATATATTTTAATTTATGTTTCCCTTATCTTGTATGCCACAACCCGCTCGCCAAACGTGGCAACTATGGCAATATACCCCTCCCCCCCATGAATGAATAAAGTTACGAAGAGACGGCCCTCAGTCCCTTTCGGCATCGCTATTTCTGGCTACGGTGGCGTCCATGGTAACGGCGGGGCAGACGACTCGACCTGGCAACATATAACGCACGCACCCTGAGGACTGACGGGAAGATCCTGGAGCTGGACGAAGAGATAGACAAGTTGCGCTGGAATATTATAGGATTATCTGAGGTCCGGAGAGAGGGGGAGGAGGACATGGTAATTCTCGAATCCTGCAACTTGTTCTATCACCGGGAGGGCGACCATCTATCCCAAGGAGGTGTCGGATTTATCGTCCACAAGTCTCTCGTTATCAACGTTGTAATGATCAAGAGTGTGTCGACGAGGGTTGTGTAACTTATGACAACCATTGGGGAAAAAAAGATTCCCAAGTGGCGGCCTCGAACCGGGGGACGAAGTGTAGGGCGTCCCCCCACTAGTTGGAGTGACGACCTGGTAAGACATGCAAGAAGTCGATGGGTGCGGGTGGCTCAGGACCGTACTTTGTAGTATTCCTTGGAGGAGGCCTATGTTCAGCAGTGGACTTGTGAAGGGCTGTAATGATGATGATGATATGTTGTATGTTTAATGTCTACTTCTAAAAATATATATACCATGTGACTGTATTGACGCCAATAAAATGTATGTATATGTCTATTTAGAAGCTAACACAATGGTAGAGCCACGCGGCAGATTTTGCTGTCGCACGGATGGGCCGGCTCGAACCGGGGTGGTACCATGTCCTCACAGAAAACCAGCGTGAAGTAGAGATTTACCTCTGCGTTTCGCTTGGTGAGTGCAGGTGGTCGGAGGCCCTTTTTACTGAAAATAAGGCATTCCATCTTAGTCCTCACGGGTGACAACGCATCTACATTTTGATTTGTAATAGAGGATAGATGTAGATGTCTATGGGCCGCAGCAACCACTTACCATCAGGTGGACTGTGTGCTCGTTTGTCACCCATATCCTATAAAAAAAAAACCTTTTTTAAGGGTAACACATTAATTAAAGTTTAATTGAAAGTTGATGCTGTAGCCCACGAAAATCTGTAGATATGCATCTACAGATGGAAACCTGCTATATATATGTATGTATGTGCATACATCTACAATCGATTAAGAATTAAGATACAGATGCATTGTTATCCCTGAGGACTAAGATGGTAAGCTTTGTCATCAGTAAAAAGGGTCTCTGATTCCACTTACCATACATAACACAGCAGCATGGAGTTGCTATTTCACACTAGTATTTTGTGAAAGCGCAGGAAAGCGCAGTCCTTTTTTTACAACCATATAACTGCAGCATGGTTCTACCACGTAAAACTAATGCCTTATTACTCAAATGCTACTCAATCTTAAGATGCTGTAAGTCTCGTGCTATTCAAAGTGACTGCGAAACTACAAGAATTAATGACGTCTGGAAATTGAGTAGCGCGTTTCAGTATTTGGCCTTAGACTCATTAGAGCGTGTGGAGTCGAGTGAGCAGATAGTGTGCGTAGATACAGAAGTGCGTTGTATGTGTGTGTGGGAGCTGACCAGGGTGATGTCTCGGCTGGCGGCGGCGGCCGACATGTGCAGCGAGGGCTGCTTCACGCTGGACGAGCAGTCGAGCGCGCGCGCAAACGTGCCCACCGAGCGCGACACCACCAGGAACTGGTCGATCTGCCGGTCCGTCAGCCCGTGCTCCGGCGTCCACACTAGCGTCTCCAGATCCTCACTGTTACGTGGCTCCTCCTCGCCTGAAATTGTTGCATTAAACATAATTAATTTTAGTAAATACAATTACTTAAAATTCTTTATATCATATTATTATAACAATAACACAGTAGCAGCCCGTTCGACGCTACTGATGGTCATAGACCTTTCCAAAATTGTGACAGATGGCAAGTAAGTATTAATTGAAAATTTTTTTCATACTCACCAACTGCATAGGCAAGTTTTTACAAGCAAAGTTGATATATGTCACGATTTTGGCAATAATTCTCATCACTGTTTGATGTTTGCCAAAATTGTCATTATTATGTTAAATCTAACTTTTTAACATTGGGTAACAGGCAAGTCGATAGCAATGTTGATGTTTTGAAAGTTGTTATTATGTTAAGCCTGATTTATAATAACATATCACGTCTGGTACTGTCTGATGCTCGAAAATTTGTCTGTTTCGACAAATTCTCCCCACTGTAGAAGTGACCCATATCCAACTATTGACTTTTATAAAATGTATAATATAAATATAAAGATAATTAAATAATTGTGATTAATATTATCTTTCATCTTTTTAGGTAACGAGTTTAATAATGTACAGTTCACTATCACCGCATATTTTCAGATTTTTATAAAGTTAATTTACTTTTATTAAAAAAAATATTTATTATTTTTTAAATATTAATACTTAAGCCTAATCTAAATAAAATCCACCACATGTTCCTGTAAAGTTTTATGAACCTTTATTTTATGAACTTTTTTATCACATCTTTTAAACTGACACTATTTTTTTACCATTTCCGCTTTTTTGTATTAACTCAAATTGTATGTACTATAAGTATTGCACTCTTTAACATAATAAGTGAACTATTTAAACAGTCCACAGTATAATAATGGTCAGAACAAGCAAATGAAAAAACATATCATATTTTAGATTGCAAAACAATATGATATAATAGACATTTATATATTGATATATTATGAAATATTAAAGCAGCCAGAATATAAAAGAAGTATAATATTATCAAACTTAAATTATAAAATAAATTTCAGTATAGCTATAGGCTACACTGACAATACTATAATATGGGCCATAAGGAAATGACACAAACTTAAGCTTCTACAGACTTCTAACAGCGTGTATTGGCAGTGGAAATCATAAAAAGCGAATATTTTGGCATGCATTTCTAAACACTATCATTATAGGTTGCTAGTTCAAAACATGGAATGTATTACAACGCAGGAATATTAAACATTTCAATGTAAATGTAAGACATTCAATACATACCTTCTTTTAATAAATTAGTTACTTCAGTCTGATATCTACTTCCAACTCTGATTTCTCCCTTATCTGCTAATAAAGTCTTTTGTGAAGGATCAAATACTAAACAATAAAAAAATGCGTCCTGAAACAAAGAGAGAAACATAGTTTTAGAAAGAGACACATAGACAATTGTTTAAAAAAGGTTATTATAACAGAAACAGTGATAATTGAAATCATCTATATAACCGACACTTATTAAACCGGTTGTGTAATTAAAATCCAGTATCTATGGAAACATTAAACTTTTTGCAATAATATGCAAATTATTGCCGCTCTACGTGATACTTTAATTATGATAAAGTTTTAACTTCGCCAACACTGTCGCAACTCATGGAAATTAGATTTAGACACATTACTCATTAATAAAAGCCGCGGTAACTCAGGGTGAATTTCACAGTACGCGAGCCACCAGGGTTCACTCCCTGTCGGCACTAATGAAATTGTTAATTACAATTGCAAAAAATGTTTTTTTCAAAAACCTGTAAAGTCCGGAACGTCACGCATTGGGGCAGTGCGTCGAACATTTCCTTGTTTTTTAAACCCTCTTAGAAAAGAGATAAAACCTGTGATTGTGTGTGAATGCAATAGCAATCATATGTTTGCTTCAAATTAAAAAAAAAAAAACACCTGTCGGTGCTTATAAACTGCCGTATGGTGGGCGTAGCTCGGGTGTCGTTAGATCAAAGGTAATTTTATTGCTTGATGTGGTGGTAACACCATCAAGCGGAGATACTTTGGTATTAAATTCTACTTAAAGACCAATAAGGAATTCCGATTCGCGTTGTTTTCTTTTCAAAAATTCGGCCAATATGGCATAACGTAAGTGGAATTAAAAACAATGAAACAGATATATTTATAGCCCAGATTTTATCTTATTGAAATAGGCAATTAATTTGTACACAAGTATTAGCAGTCCAAAAGAGTTAATCAGCAGTTTGAAAATACCAAAAATATATCTACTTCAAATGTCTAAAAGCGTACTCTTTCTGCTACTTTGTCTCTCCGTCTATCTCACTATATACAAAGGGATTACCTAGCAGTTATAAATAAATTCGATAACGGCTTTCAATTACAAGGTTAGTAATACCCATTCGACAAACGTTCAAATAGTAGACGTTTATGTGTTGTACAGCTGGAAATAAATCAATAAAACAAAACAGGAAGCGCGGACGGAGATACGAGATAGGCCGCCAAGTACACGCTCATTTCCTTATTAGTTGGTGTACTTATAATATGCAATATACAGCTCAATGTTATAAATTGACATCTATGGAACGGTTGCGGTTAGTTATAAGTTTATAGTAGTGCTAAATGATACTGATCCTGATACATTGTCGTTATATTGTCAATAGCAATTTTTGCCGTAAAGTGGTGCCTTAAAGAATCCACTATCCCATATAATCCCGTGGGTATCGTAAAAAGCGACAGAGGGAAATGGAAACTAATAGAAAGAGACAAACGATGGGGGAAGCCTGCGTTTAGCAGCAGACTTTTGATAGGCTGTTAAAATAATAATGGTGCATCGCAAATTTAAAGTTATATAAAATATTTAAAAAGCAATGTATTTATTTTTCAAGATGAATCAAATTTTAAGCATTTAAAAGCCGTATAAACATATTTTATTAACAACTCGCTGTTCCCCGCGACTTCGCCCGTGTTTTTATTTAGGTTTTTAATTTTTTTTTTTGGTCTGAACCCAAACTCTTTTTCTTAAATACAAGTAGCCTAAGATTCTCCTTATAACATCAGCTGTCTTCTCATCAAAATCAATTCAACCGTATCGGAGATCAGCCGGAACCGACAGACAAACAGACAAAAATTTTAAAAATTGTGTTTTTGCTATAAGTACCTATATACTTTCATATGCATTAAGTGAAAAGCTGTTATTACAAACAGACACTCCAATTTTGTTTATTTGTATAGATTACAATGTCGGTAAAAATCAGATAAATCATTCACTTTCACCTATCCATTTATATTAGACATATACGAATGCTAATAAAATTGAAGGGGGTTATTGATGCTATTAAGACATGATAAAGCATTATTACCGAACAAGCCGGTTTCCGAAAAGGCTTTAGCACCATAGAGCACATACATACCCTTCGGCATATTGTACAGAAGTCCGAGGAGTACAATTTGCCACTATGTCTAGCGTATGTGGACTATGAGAAAGCTTTTGATTCCGTCGAAACTTTGTCGGTGCTGCAGTCCCTTCAGCGATGCCAAGTAGACATGGAACGAGTAGTGATTCGCCGAGTACTCGGCCACCGGGTACTCGGCCTAGATGGGGCCGAGTACTCTGCCGAATACTCGGCCTTAAAAAAAAAACGCGGTAGCAGGCGGCGTGCGATTATTTCCCTTACAAACTAGACCCAAATAGGACCGAAAAACTAGTGTTTATTAGTGTTTTCTAGTGTAGTGCATCACAATCTTCCTGTCTTAAATTTTAAATATTAGTAATAATAATTTCTATTATAGATTCTTATGTACGTTCTAAACATTTCTGCTGCTTCTCATGTTCCTGATGTTTTAATGTGTCTAATTTAATAATAATGATAAAAACTGGCTTTTTGTCTTTATTTTTCTCTGGAATATAATTAAAGCCGAGTACCTACTCGGTACTCGGTGCTCGGCCGAACCCTGAAAAAAGGCCGAAACCGCCGAGTACCGAATCCAAACCGAGTATTCGTCCCATGTCTAATGCCAAGTTAACTGTCGGTATATCGAAGTGCTGAAGTGCTTGTACAGTAGGGCTACGATGGCTATCCGAGTACAGAACCAGAATACGAAACCTATCCAATTGCAGAGAGGTGTAAAACAGGGTGACGTTATATCCCCGAAACTCTTCACCGCTGCATTGGAAGCTTATTTTCAAGATTCTGGATTGGAAAGATACGGTATTAACATCAATGGCGAGTACATACATCACTCACCTTCGATTTTCAGACGATATAGTCCTTATAGCAGAATAGCTGGAGGACCTAAGCACTTTGCTCAATGACCTCAATAGTGTTTCCCAACGGATAGGTTGGATATAAGATGAACATGGACAAAGCAAAGATCATGTTTAATGTCCATGTCACACCTCTGCCGGTAGTTGTTGGAAGCACTAAGCTCGAAGTTGTTGGCGAGTATGTTTACCTGGGACAAATAGTCCGACTAGGTATGTCCAACTTCGACCGAGAGGTCAATCGACGGATTCAACTCGGCTGGGCAGCGTTCGGCAAATTACTGCACATCTTCTTGTCAGTTATACCTCAAAACTTAAAAACGAGACTGTACAACCAGTGCGTGTTGCCAGTGATGTCTTATGGAACTGAGACGTGGTCCTTCACTGCTGACCGGATGAGGAAGCTCAAGGTCACTCAGCGAGCTATGGGGAGGGCTATGCTCGGAGTTTCTCTGCGTGATAAACTTAGAAATGAGGATATCCGCAGTAGAACCAGAGTGACCGACATAGCCCAACGGATTAGTAAGCTGAAATGGCAATGGGCCGGCCATATAGCTCGAGGAACCGACAGCCGATGGAGAAAAAAGGTTCTCGAGTAGCAGCCTCGTACCGGCGGACGAAGTGTAGGGCGTCCCCCCACTAGATGGAGTGACGACCCGGTAAGATATGCAGGAAGTCGATGGATGCAGGTGGCTCAGGACCGTGCTTTGTGGCATTCCTTGGGGGAGGCCTATGTTCAGCAGTGGACTTGTGAAGGGCTGTAATGATGATGATGATGAAAGCATTATTAAATTTTTTGTCTGTCTATCCAGACTTGTCTTACGAATGGCTGAACCGATTGACAGCAATGATACCAATTTTTAATTTGTACGAATTATCTTTCATATTTTGTGTGTTGGTCTTATAAATGTTTCTTCAATGCTAGAAGTGATCTAGGCTATATTTTATTCCAAACACATGTGTTATGTTTTTGATGATTATCTCATAAGGTGAAGAGATATTATAATAATAAGATTCGAAAAAAAAAAGCTTTTTGGTTTGTTGTTTCACACAAAAGTTTACTTGTATTTCGTATCCAAAATCGCGCTTTATAAAAAATATGATTGTTAAAGGATAAGTTGATAAGACTTTTTTCACGTATAACTCAACAATTTTTATTTAAAATATTTTCCTATATTTTATTAGATTAAATAGTTATTTTCAATAATTAAACTATAAAAAACCACTACATTTATATTACAAATCTGCAGGTTTATTTTATTTAAGCTTCTACACGGACGAACTCGCTGGCAAAGAGTAGTTATTAAATAAAAATGAAAATAAAAACTAAATTTTAAATATTCTTGAAATTGACAGCAATCATTTAATGTCATACAAAACTAAAACTAGTTTTTCGAGTAATTTATAATAAACAAGTTGTCACTGCAGACAAACCGTGAGAAAATGAAATAATCTCGGAAACAGTTAAGTTAACAGTATAATTTCGCAGTTTTACCCATTCTAGTGTTGGCACTTGGTACGAGTATGTACACGTGTTGGTTTGGTAGATTGGTGTGTTAGGTCTGTTTGTGTGGTACATACTCACATCCTTATTGAGATAGCTGAGCAGCGACTCTGTCTCGTTGAGGAGTGTGACGGTGCATTTGCCTCGGATGTGCGTGGCGGGCAGCGTCTCCACGTGGCGCGACAGGAACAGCTCGCGATGCTTCGCCTGGTGCCGCTGTTTAGGCGCCAGACCGTCTGTGCCTGGCAACTCTGTAGATTCCTCCTCCATCGCCACTGCCGATTAAGAACAAAGTTTTTGTTAACGGGCAAATATAATAAGTATTGAATGATAGGAAAAAATCAATCAATACGATAAAATAGAACCGACTTCATAACAACGATGAGAATTTTACGGGCATAAAAACTGTGTGCATACATGCATACAGATTTTCGTTTCAATTTAGACGATCATCTTCAAATTCTATTTATTTGGCTGTACTTACTTTAATAATAAATATAACATACTACGCGATTGATACATACTGATAGTCATGATCGAATTTTCAAGGAAGACATTAGAACAAGGTCCGACATTAATACAATATTATAAATATTTTATACTTCTGGTACTCATAATGTTACATTGTAATTAAATTAAAACGACAACACAAACAAAACAAATAAATTTAAACTCATAAGATCGTCGGTTCAAATCCGCCATTCGACCTACTGTCTTGAACCACTCCTACACTAGCATTTTAAAGCTTAATAGGAAATTTTAAAAGAAATATTAGTAAAGTAAATATCATTGCTATTTCTAGTATATTTTTCATAAACGTGAATTAAATAATAAACAAAATGCTTCGGCGGTTCTCAGTTGAAGTTGTTGAGTCAGTTCTGAGTTGAAAATCTGTTTTAAATTTATATATAATAGCACTAAACATGATATCAATGCAGTACTTGAGAAATAACCCTACAGATATACTACTGTAACTAAGACTTCATTCTAGTGTCATAATCATCATTTATCATTAAAATTTACAAGTACACAATTACTGTACAAAGGGCTTTCCCAAGGAATACTATAAGAGGAAATAAATCTAGTAGCTGGTAACTAATCAGGAAATAACCACTAGACAGAATTGAAACAGTAAACAAAAACAAAAAAATCTAGGTTTTGGATCACCATTACCATCGCTATTAGTTATCGATGCCAGACAAAACTTGTTATAATAATTTTTTACTGTTAATTCTGCTCTTTATTTGTTTATTTGGTTGTTAAAGAAACAAATATGTAACCAGTGTACCAGACTGCTGTATAAAAATGTATTGATAAATACGTAGGTATTAAACATTTTAAATACTTTAATAAACATCAAGCAAGCAAATTATTTTTGGCCAATTGCAGTTTCTCAATTTTTAGTGTTAAAATGACGTTGAAAATAACATGTATACGTCGTAGAGCCACGCTGCAGCTATATTAGCAGTATAGTTGTAGCACGAATGGGTCAGCTCGACCGGGGAAGGACCACGCGCTCTCACAGGACCAGCGTGAAATAGCAGTTCAACCCTGCTGTGTTTCTTATGGTGAGTGTAGAGAACCGGAGACCCTTTTTACTGGAAAAGAGGCTTTCCATCTTAGTCCTCACGGGTGATAACCCATCTGCATTTTGATTCGCAAACGGGGATAAATGTAAATGTCTATGAGCCACAGGAACCACTTACCGGAAATGCATTTTATATTACTTTTGCAATTTCAGCATAATATATGACAATGACATTGATCTAAAATATAATATGATTTCTTAATATAAAAACTTGTATTTTCATTGTATAAACACGAATGTTTTGTCATCAGACCTGTGTTGGCGTGCAATTAACGGATAAATTAAAGAGCCAGTTGCGACGCATGTCATCTCGACGTGTGCGAGTTAAATTATCAAATATTTTAATTACCGCCGCGGAGCGTTTGCCCTCGACAGCGATGGCGGCGTCGCGGGCAGGTGTGTTGTGAACCGTGGCCACGTCAGCTATGATTTTAGTGCGCTAATGTTCTACCCGGCCGCCATTACGACAATCATGCTCGTATCACAACATGTCCGTCATCATTACACATTATCTGTATTAAATAAAAATATCGCATGCGTGGCCAGCCTTAAGTCGTAGACTGTATCGTAAAAATTCCCTAAAAGTGAATTGAAATTTATTTATTATGGTTATAAATTCAAACTTTTCAACATTATCCAATCTGCCCTCTTAATAAGGCTAATAACAGTGATGTTTTATGATAAAACCATTAAAGTAACCTCATTAAACTTCAAGCACTTTAAGCATATTATACGATACACGATGATTGATGGATCAATAAAGCTAGCAGCGTTCAATCTTTCATTCATTCAGAGGTCGGTAGCGGTGTGACTCAAGGAAAATAAGCGTAAGCAACGGTTAGGGTAAAAAATATGAACAACAAGGGATAAACAGGTCCGCGGACTGACAAAGCGCGACCCCCGCGGGGCTGTAGCTGTGGCGGCGCGCCGCGCCAACGCTCACACTCCACTCCACATACCGTAAAGCCCTGTTTCACTTACTACGACTATTTCTATTATTTTCAGTGTTTAAATTAGGTCAAATATTATTTAATCAATAAACGAGTACCTATATGCACATATAAAGGAGCGGTTTTAAGACAAGTTTTAAGTGGCGTGAGTGGCCCGTGCGGCCGGAGTGAGGATCGGCAGGAGGGGTGGGTACGTAGGTATTAGCTACTTATTATTACCACGCTGATTCACATAGACTTATATTTTAATTTCATTATGTATATTAGACCAATACAGATATTTTGTTTGTATGTTGATAGTTCATTAACGTGTTTTATTTATTACACATAAGGACTTAACCACGAACTCTTACTCAGACTCCGCAAAGGTAATAAAATAGTGCCTAATTTATTTTAATTACCGCGCGACAAGGGCATTTCAGGCACAAAAACAATTACAAATAGTAATATTAAATCAAACAACAGTTCAAATGATCATCAATCAAGAAACAACTTCATTCACGTGCTTTTTTTATATTACACATAGACCTTTTAATGTAAAATAAAAAAAAAGCAACGACTGTTATATCCATTTCCATCGGTAACATTAATCGATCAGCTCGTAAAATGAATACAGAATACAAAACATATTGTTTATAATAAATCTTAAATCATGAAGAATTAACAATTAACGATATGTGGGAAGGCTGCCGCGGCCCCCTGCCAGTTATACGAGTACCATGCAAAATGTTCCTTGGGCGGAATAAGAAAATAATAGGTATGTAGTACAACCTAACCTAAGAAAGTAGCATTAGGCATATATAAATGTTATAACATAATTCATATAATTATTTAGTTTGTAACGTAAACAAAGTCGGGCTTTTATTGGAATTAGAAAGAGGGTGGAGTAATGGAAGGACGTTCGACGTAATATAACGGATGCGGCAGCAAGCAGGCGTATTAATTCTATTGCCAATGTCGTGAATGACGCAATCTCAAAATTCAAAATACATCGATAAAGTTTACATTTTATATTTATTCTTTTTTTTCAGTTTTTGTTAGTTATGTTAGACGAGAATTACTCCTTGCAACAGTAGCAATTAAGTTAATCAGTGGGATCGATAAAAATTGAGTTGGTATACGATAGCCATCACTAGCACTAGCGCTGTATCGACAAAGGGCCCGTAGGGTACGAGGGCGGCGGCCGAATTGCGGGGGATTTACTTTATGATAATTATTTGGATTGCCTCCGCGAGAGGAGCCGGGGCGAGCGCGACTCGATCAGGAGATGTCGGCCACGAAGTGTCTGTAAAATAACAATTTCTGCAGAGCCCTACTACTATGCAATGAGCTAATGAGTTAGTAATACCACTAGTACACTGCTTTATATTTATTTAATTAAAACAAATTATTTGAAAATAATAAACGCTTTTAACAACCCTACACTGGATTAAAAAGGTTTTTCATGAATTCTAAATTATGTATTTGGAAAAAAATTTATGAAAATAACAGTTCTATTTTTAATTTCATTTAAGAAATAATCGCATTTGCATAGTTGTAAATTTTATAACAAATATTTTTAAATTGACCAACTCCTTCACAATAAAACTTTAACATGTTTTCTACTATATAGTATTCTGTTTCGTCATAAATTATGGCTACCGATTTTTACAGTAAAATCCTAAAGAAAAAAGTAACGTCGAGCAAATCTCGGTTGCCCCTGCACTATTATTTATTAAAATACATAAAGTTCCGAAGTAAAGCTATGCAAAAATAATCTCGCCACGGAATCATAACGACTTGAATTTTACTTGTGCTAAGTTTTGCTGAGTCAGCGTCCCACTGGATGTGATCGCATCACTCTATCACTCTTTAAATCGCATTCAAACAAAGGTTACTTACCTAAATATAAATTACATGTACTTACTAATGACAACAAAATTAAGTCGAATTATGCAAGGACCCTTTGTGCCGTGTAGAAGCAACGTAAGAGAATCAATCCACCACACCAAATCACGCCGTGGGTGTCATAAAAGCCGACAGTGGGAAACTGAAACGGCAGCATCTTCCTGATTCTAATGTCTACGAAATACTTTTTAACTTCTCAGACATACGGATTTCATCATGATGTTTCCCTTAAACGCTGAGCACGTGGCACGTGGTAAATCAGTACTTTAAATTGCAATTAACAAACCATTAGTGCTGGCGGGGATCGACTCGCAAACTGCGAAATTTACGCCCCTGAGCTTCACAACGTTTCTTCCTGATAAAAACCGTAAATAATAAAAAATTGCAGTTGCCAACCCTCCCGCCAAGCGTTCCAACTATGGCAAAATCACATCATGAAGCAATCTAACCTATGTTCAGTTCAGACTCTTACGGGCTGATAATTGAACACTCGCGGACCACACAGCCGCTCGGAGAATATTTATTGTATTGGTGCGTCTTGCTTATTTTTTTTTTGTTAATAGCGGGCTTAATCCCACTTGTATTTGTAATGAGACAGTTAAAAATCATTGCTACTGAGCCTAACATTGGCAGGCGGATTGACAATTGCAGTAGCAGTATCAGACGCTTCGGTCTCGTATCCTTGACGCTGCTGCCATACGTCTTGTCTGAGTTTTTTTTTATAGGAACGGATGACAGACGAGCACACAGTCCACTTGATGGTAAGTGGTTGCTGTAGCCCATAGACATCCACATCTATCCTCAATAAAGACTCAAGACGCAGATGCGTTGTCACCCGTGAGGACTAAGA